ACGAGAGTTTGTCTTTGTTGATTTCTAGTAAATCAGAGGGTGGGGATACGTTACTCTAACTCACTACCCAACATGTATCGTTGTTCTAAGCCTTGGTGGCTATAAGGCTCATCTAAGTGTGGAGACTGTATGGTACATCTATGACTTCACAGAATGTGGACATCTGTACCTGCAACCGACATCGTGATGCAGACCACAAATATCTCCTTGCAGATGTATCTGGTTTCGGGTCTGCTCACTTTGAGGCTGCTCAACTTGAGGGAAGTGTTGCTTGTTTGCATCTTCTACGTAGTCTGCGCACAAGCCTCACTCCCGAAACGCACCTCATAGAATCGTAACCTAAGTGTCTGATCTAACGTTGGAACTGTCGACGTGACGTCAATGATTTACGCTACTCGAGTGGTTGAAGGTGTGATATCGAGGTCGACCAACGATGATATGAAGCTCGAGGTATCAATCAGGATTCAGGTATGCCCGAATCCGCATAGCAAGCCGTCCGAACCCGCTGGTCTCATAGGCTCGTGTCTTCGAACCCTCCCACGACGAAGATTATCGAGTCACTTCTCTCACCTTGGTTGCTAGTGCGGACGAGATATACAGTCGTGCATGAGTCGCGCAGCCTGACGAAACACTTCTAATCTGTTCTAGTCTCATAGTTGAAGTTTTTACTTACTCTATCAGATCTGATCGATCGAGAGTTGGCAGTTTCACTGCATGGTGTTATTGTTGAGTTGCCTGGTAGATGAGAACGCTATGGGCGTTCCACTCGGCCTCCGCTACGGAGTGCTTTATGTGTAGTTGATCAAACCTCGCACCGGTAGTGAGGGCCCGTTATTGGCGGGTAGCACACTGAAGTAGGCGGCATTACTCGACTGAATGAGTATTGTAATCTGATCTCGTACGACATTGCAGTGCCAATCATGACATGTCTGTGCAACTGATTCGGAACGAACAGATCATTAGAGTAGGTCTCAAGATCTGCCCTCAGAGAGCATAAGCTCTTGAAAAGAATTAACGAGTCCGGAGAATGCTCATCTCTGTTGCGCTAGGGAGAACTAGCTTGTTACTGGCTTATTACCCTCATATCTGCACGCACGACTTGTGCGTACCTGCATGCTTTGTTGGGTACAATATTACAGAATCATATCACAGAATGTATACGTGCTCTATTATATATTAGTTATATAACATGATGATGCCAGGAACTGAGAACGATACACTAAGTACTGTCTGTCCAAAGTGAGCTGTCTACTATTTGCTATGTCCTATGCGTTCTACGCAGCTGCACGCATACACAAAAGTTCTCCGCGCCTTCGGTTCCTCTTGGTGTTGGAGTAACTGAGGCGGTGTAATACAATCCGGCAATCGCAACTTTTTGCTAATGTTGCGGGTTTGCCAAATGCTATAATTCCTGACAGTCTCACTTTTTTGCTCTTTTGTATGTGCTGCTTTCTCAGTTACAAAGTAGCAACCACATTTACAACCTAGCAATTTCTGGTATAGGTTTTAGCAACCAAATGTTGAAAGTAGCAAATTCGAAAGTGTTTTCCAGCAAGGCGCCCTTTTTTGCTCTTTTTTTGCCGCATTGTATATTACTCCGGAATGTTTTACACTCTGGCACTTTTGCCCACGTGTGCTTCGCCCGCACATTTTCGTTATTCTGGCAAGTTGTGCTCATTTGCTGTTTAATATGTTTCGCGTTGTAATTATATAATCTGGCACCTTTTGAGGTTTGCTCTTGTGTGATGTTCCTGTATGAAATATAAAAATTGGCAGTTGCCGGTATGTGACAACGCTGCGCTACTTTTATGTTTCGGCTATTTGCTCTCTTGTAACTTACGCCCTGCGAGAATATATACTAGCGTTTTGCTCATTCGTTCAAACTCCGTCTCTGCTAGCGTTATCAGCAAACTTGCCCTTTTGCATTATTCGTACAAGTAATATACAATCGAGCAAACATAGTTATAGGATAGCATTTCTCGTTCGATTATGGTATTGCGTCTTATATCCGGAACTTAGTACCGGATCAAAGCGTGATAGCACTCTAGTGAGATATATCATTCACTCTGAAGACAGCGCGAGTTATGATCAATGCTGAATACCAAAAACATGATTGCTCTTGCATGTCGCGATTGAATCACATGAGATAACAGTTAAATTGAATCCCCATCTTCGTGTATCCTCTTTTTTTTGCATCGTATCAATTGTGTCCCATGGTTCACTACGATCGTACGTATTGACGACTCAACAATACTCAGAAGTTAAATCCTTAAGCAGGCATTAGCCAAGTATTACGGGCAACTTTGACATTCTACACGAGAAACGTTCACTCATGGGCAGTGTCACTCATGATGAGTGACTCATCAGAGTGCCTCTGTGGAGCTATTGTTATGGACTGTGCAGAGATGTAGATGAATTGGACAGGGGAAACGCAACACGGATAGAATTACTAGATATGAATTCTACAGATGAGAAGCATATTTAGAAACGTCCAAATTTTTCTCTACCAATCACCGAGACAGCTACTCGTAGCAGCTACAACAGCTGGGCACCACTGAGGTGCCTACCTTACTGCGAGTGCGTACATGGTCGCTAGTCTCCAGTGATGGGAGAAACTACTTCGATTCCTCACGCTCGTCCTCTTTCGACCGCTTCTGCTGCAATTCTTTTGCCGCGTGGCTCTCATACTCCTCTACCAATAAAATAGCATTGTTGTTAGGCGAGTACTTTCGCACTATCTCCTCACATTTGGTACCTCGGAAGAACTTGTTCAGCGCCGGGTAGATGCGGAGTGCTAAGCCAGCCTGCCTCTTTCCTCGATAGTTTCGATTTTCGCGAGGGGCATCTTTTTGCAATGACCAGTATTTGCTCAGACTACGGAAGAGCATATTGGTTCGCATGCAATAGGCCACGTAAGGATCAGGATGCGAGTATGATAGCCACGATATCTCCGTTGCTCCAGAGCTGGCCGATATCTTACATTGCCTCTTCCACCCCTGAGGCATTTTACACGCGTCCAAACCCCCAGCCCAATCGTTCAAATCAGCATCGAACTGTTCAATACTCGAAGTAGAGCCACGGCCGTGTTCCTCATCACAAAAAACTCGCGGAAGGTCGCAGGGATCCCGGAGCTCCTGTCTAGGATCGTCGAGAGCTACTCCACCTACCGTGGCCAGATATAAGCAGTTCTGCACGAGCAGAGAGAAGAGCTTCGCTCTACCATACATCACAGCTAGACCTCCAATTAACTCCAGTGTATCCCCGAGAGCCTCTGAGAGGAAATCCGACCCTTTCTCGAAGAAAAGCTTGTACAGTCCAGCTTGAAGACCCGCAGAGAGACCGACACTTCGTCTCAATTTGCACAGCATTACGCAATATCCCCAGTTCGAGACCGGGTTGAAAGCTTGCGGAGTCGGACAGCTTCGAGTCGCATGGAGAAGCTCATTCACGGCCCAGTCAGTAGAGAACCATGAATAACCATCGCCGAGATAGTGGATTAGGGAGAGGTTCTTCGACTTCTGGTTACGATAAGATCTTCCAAGGTCAAGGCCAGTGGCCCAGGACCCGGAATTAAGGTCCTCAAAATACATAACAACGGCTGTTAACAGTCGATCCTTCGGCATGGTCGTGTACAAGAAATTATACAGTTCGTGGTCGAGAGACTCGAAATCTATCTCCTCCAAGATCACCGAAGCTTGCCTCCAGTATGCATTTACAGTAGGGAACCTATCCCGAGTTCTCCGACAACACTCTCTCAGGTGGCGCATTTTAGCGACAACCTCGGCAGGATCGAATACATTATGCGGCTTGAAGAGAATGCGTTTTTTCAAACTCCTCACGTACTCTTTTGACAATCCTTTGCCTGACGGATACTTTTGGAAGGGACTCCAAACCATGTTCATAAGAGTCAAGTTCAACCTATTGAGAGACTCCTCATTGCTTATATCCAGCTTTTCGCCGTAGGGGAGGTGACCGTCAAGTTGATTGAGCGACGATTCAGCCGCAGCATCTTGGCGGGAGCCTGATAGAGCAAAGGACGAGAAGGTCTGATTTTGGTAATTCACGAACGACTTCGGCTCGCCATTCCTATCAGCCTCAAGGGCATCGAAGAATTGGTTGCCTGCTCCTATTTCATGATTCAATGGACATGGTGCCATTGGGCACAGACTGTCCTGCTCTTTCCAAAAAGCAGCATACAACTCCTTGGATAAGCTCGCAGTGGTACCAAGTTCGGCGCCAGTGCCACTGTTATCTACAGCTCCCTCGATGTCGTGCAACACAAAGTCGCCAATACTAGCAGCAATATTGCACGAGAAAAGATGACCACAAAGTGCAGGTTGGGTCGGGGAGTCTTCATTCCACCACTGAATGAACCTTTCCCAATGAGGCTTTTCCCTCTGAAGCCAAGCGATATCATCGCGATGAAGTAAGCGTTGCCGGAATTGTTGGTCTTCTGCAGATATCATGAGATTTTTGATCAGTGATGAACAACAACTGAGTTATTGAAAAATTAACTCTCATACATCCTCCGTTCCAAGACAGTGTCTTGTAACGACACTAACTTGAAGACAGCAACCCCATCCAACAACACGTCGACTTGTACATTAGAATGAGAAACTCCGATCGTTATCACAACCGACTACCAGTAATAAAATATGAATTATTCGCTTGAGGTTATGAGCGGGCACCACGCAGGTGCCTTCCTACCATAACAACGAGCTCAGTAGGTTAAGTTATTACTTATAACAGTCAAAGACAGATATTCCGAAATTTGAATATTTCCGGAGGAACAAAAGAGACTCCAAGCGAAGGAAAGCATACAGATAAGAAATGAGATACTCCAATCGAGGGTACGTCGCCTGCCATGGATACACTACAATTATGACCCCGAACACAGCTATCAAATCATGCTCTCCTTTACGCCACACAGCTCACTGACACGCTCAAGATAGTCAAACAACGAGATACCGATGCCATCTGACATTGGCCTCTTCCAGGACTGGTAGTGAAGGAGACGTCGCTGTTCATTGCTCCTGGAGGCAGGAGGAGACTCGCCGAGATCGACACTGTTCATTTTGGTTCGGGATTTGCCCTGCGAGTATTTTAGAATCTTCACAAAGTCCACCACTCCGGGATTCTTCTTCACCAGCTTCGAATTAAGATCCCGATGATGTCCTTCAAGAGGATTGCTGGTTCTCTGAGAATGATTATCGTTGCTCGGAGGTCGGCACCATTGAGTTGGTGGAAATAAGGCCCCAGAACCCATATATGTTGTGTCAATATAGTATATCAGCTTGTCGATGGCGTCATTTGCTGGTTTATCGGCCTTCACTACACTCCAGGAGGCACTGCATTCTTCTACTGTCATCCATGGAAGACCACAGAGTAGGTGTAACCACCGTCCGATGGCATCACGGGTTGGCTTCGGCGTCCAGTAAGCTGTCTGAAGTCCTAGATCCTGGATCTTCCTTATCCAGGATTTGCATAGATGGAATAAGCAGCCCAAAAGCTGGGATTCATGGAAGCTAAATACCTTCTTCAATGCAGCTCTCATAGGAGTTTCAAAATCAGTAATATAGTCCAACAGTCTAGCTACGTCAAATAGCTGCAGTTGGATCAGGTACCGTTGGATAATGTTGAGTACCCTCTCATATTCTTCCTGGGTCCTCTGCTTCATCAATGCATAAAATACGGGTATATACCATCCTTCCACTGCAATCATACCAATCCACACTTGTGACCAATTTTTTGGGGCGATATAAAATGTCCCATCGAAGATCATAGTATCGGCCTTATTGATGAGCTGCATATTCCTGTCACACGCCCATATCATAAGAGGATCCTCAGCATCATAGTGGAGTAGGAATCTGGGCTCGTTGGGCACATCCGATGCCTCGGTCTCTTTTGCATGCTCCACAAACTGCTTGTAATGCTCCACCGGATCAACTCGGAAGTCAGGCAGCTGAATTTTCTTGCGACTTGCACGAGCTAGCCGTGTCCTTACAGCATTCAGGTTCCTTTGGTCAGAATGACTCGTTCGGGTACCATGGCTCTGCACAATACCCGCGACAGTGGACGCAGAGCCCTACCTAACGCATGTCAGAGTGAATCTTGCGCCTGTTACGATTTCGCTCTTCAATACGGCTACTGCTTGTAGCCGTACAATTGTCCGCATGCGTTGGTAAACGGTCCATCTCAAAATGTGACCCCACTCTCCTCAGTCTCAAAGACCGAGTACAGCCACAGCAACGGAACCGTTGAAGTTCATCCGAAGCCTTGCTCATCCTCCTGTACTGTAAGTGGTTGATATACACGCTCTGTTTGCCCATTTGAGTCTCGGAGAACCACTCTGCTGGGATAATTTCCCCGACGGCAACGACCTGATAGAAAATCGCAGAATCTGTGACACAGTGAGATATTAGAAAACCATATACCTGCTCCGATGCGTTGCTGGAAATAGTAGCTTGACTCAACGAAATATCAACTACTGCGTGATCATTTTCAGCGGTGGATGGAGAAGGCGATGCGACTGTGGGACCTTGAACTGGTGATGCTGTATTCTCGTGTGACAGCGTGGAGCCAGGTATCGAAGTTATAACCGCTCCTGGACGCGCTTCATTTCTGAAAAACAAAACTTCTGAAATTATCACCAGTCGATCCGCGGTGATCATACCCAGCAGATGATAAACCAGTCGAAGAAAGTGATGCTACTGTAGGACCTTCGGTAGACACTTCGGGGGGCGGTGAATCAGACGAAGGAGATGGTTGACCTACCGATGATCACCTTACTCCCAACCCTCACCACAACATCACCGCTTACTTGAAGAGAGGGAGCTCTCCGGAACACCCTGAAGCCTGTCAACGAGTCTGACCGACAAAGGGTCTGTGCTCACTGGGGTGCCAGGTGATTGATCGATTGTGGCAGCAACAGCTGGGCTGGCGGGAACGGAGAAATCCGCAAGCCACTCAGATACGTCTGATGGGGTGGCAAATCTCGGATCATATTCAACCTCGGACTCGGATACAGGTTCATTCGGAGTGATCTCTAGATCTAACCGAGACTGAGAAATAGCCGTGGCAATGAGTTCCTCCTCCGTGAAAAGAGATACAGAGACGGGCTGGACTGGGTCGATCAAATGCGCACCCAGCAGTGCCACAATATCAATATCTGAGAGCCCTGCGTCAGAAGGATGGTTCACCCTCAATGCTGCCGCTAGCTGAGGAATGCCACTTTGACACAGTAGTAGTGAGTAAGCACGTTCACGTCCAATATTGAACTGCTCCATCGAGACCATTCGAAAGTCCGTCAAAGATAGCGGACACTTGAAGTTATTCAACTGCAGTATCTCGTCATAATAATATTATGATAATATGCGTAAACGGCTTCACGCGTAGACCGCAGATCAGAACGTTGCGTCCAGGTAGCGCGGCACTGGGAACAGCGGCCACCAGCAGCACGGACCTCCCAAGAGCGACAACATGCGGAGTCAAGCATCACGCCCGCCACACAATTGGTGCAGTACCACGCATTACAATTACACCGCCAAGTTAAAGCTGGATCATCACGATCCACTTCGGTTCCACATATTATGCATAACACAGAGGTAGTAGCGTCAGCCCACTGGTAAACGGCCAAAGCAACGGGTCCACGAAGGAACTCCTGACCACGGGGAATATTCATGATAGACCCGCCGTTGCTGAAACACGCCCTCAACGTCAATATACTGTCATCAGTCTCTATATTTTTCTCAACCGTGCGTTCTTTGCTCTCATCTCCAGCATACGCCGATACCATTAGAATGCTGGGTTGCTCGAGTGTCTTGAGATCAACCCAGGGAGTGGGTAAGCCCGACAACCCTCCTTGTAGCCGTTCCAGCATATCTCGCTTACGCACGAAAGGCATACCGCTTGCAAGCACTGTGCTGTGCATTTTATCACGAACCTTGTTGTAGAAGTCTTGGCGCGCACAGTGCTCACCCCAGAAAGATCTGATGACTTCCGTTATGAGCTCATTTATCGACTCTGTAGCACGCTGAAGTCTTCTAGCGGTAGTAGACGAGTTGACCAAAAAAGTTGGCTCGAGAACCAACCACATAACCGGTGAGAGACGCCACCTGTCAGCTGTTGTGCTGGGTGTGGTGGCCTCATCACTAAGCTTTAACTTGGTGCGTACAATTTTATTTAGTGCTTTTCGAACCACCTGAGATGGAAGGCGTTTCCCAAATGATATTAGGCTTCTCAATAAAGTCGATAAGCCAGTTCGGTATCCACTCGCTATTATGTTCCCAGAAAGCTGCGTTGGATACGACACGTTACATAAATACCAAACCGGTAAACGGTTAAATATATATGCATATGGCGTTACCATGAATATATCCGATCTCGAGATTTATCCGAAATTGATATCAGTTTTTCATCACGGTAAAAATTCTTACTTGCTCCTTGATGCGCGTTATGATCGCCAATGATTCCTCAGTTATGCTCAGACCAGCATATTCACCCATTTCCACGAATTCCACGCCATTGAAAACATAATGAGCTCTTAGATACCTGAGCCTTATTTGGGACATCCGATACGGATACTCCGCCTACCTGATTAATGATCCAAGCGTCTGCTGCTCTCCCGTGAGCTCCCAGAACAATTGCTGGTCTTCAACTGAAGGGTCACAGGCAGAGCGCGAGAGTAGTTCCTAATAAGTAACCCAGCAGATTAACTTCTGTCGAATGAATGATGGAATACCTTCATAGCGGAACCACTTTCCAATCGAATTCTCTGTTTACGAAATATCCCCAATAAGGGCCCGCACAGAGAAGAAGTGGTTTTGTACCGTTTACGTGTTCTATCACAGTGGTCACAGAAAAACTTATCCGTCACCCCAACGTTTATCAAACGTGCAGCTGAGCCCGCACAATTACGTTTGTGATAAATATCGCCACAGGTGAAACATATGATGACCGGGTTGTCAATTGCCTCATCTTCACCGCAAAACACGCATCTCTTATAAGACATGAGTGCTTCGGTATTAACCAGAGGATTCAAATCAAACTGATAATACTCCGAAATACCCGACATTAGCAGACATGCAGCTAAACTCAAGAGAACTGAGCTGAAGATTCCCTGCTTCTCCCAGTAGAGTGCCTCCGATGCAAGAAGCCTATTTACTTGAGATGGGTTCAGTCGCCATTCGCTATGCATCTCGCATGGGCACCACTGGGTTGCCTGCAATACAGCACTGCACTGCAGATGAGTGATCCGTGTTGATCCAAATAATTGATCTCGGATCACTCAGTACGAGTGATTCCACCCAATACGACCTACCATGTAAACACAAATCCTCTACTTGCAAACATAATACGCGAAGCATAATAGCAAAAGTTTTAATACACAATCTCAAGACCACCAGTATTCCCAGTTCACTACTTCTGACACAACGTTCACTACTTTCGAGTTCACTTTTGAGCCTCCTGAGTTACTCGAGAATCTCTTTCCGGCGATCTCGGTCCCTTCTGTGACCATGTGGGAACTGCATGATGTAGAAAATATGAAAATCCAACGAACCCTTAGTCTTTACTAACGACCTACTACCACTTGCATCCATCCTTCTCCCAGTGCTGCAACTAAGATTATACTTATCTATATCGACAGAACCAAAGAGCTTTGCAAAAGAGTCACCACTCAGAGACTTCGAAACTATATGCAATGCTCTGAGCATAGTTATGCCCAACAGTGTTGAGCACAACACAATCACCAACAACCCACCAAAGTTCGAATCTCGCGTGCGAAATTTCTTCCGATTATAAAACAGCAAAAATTTGCTCCATTGCGAGGTTGCCCATTCGTAAAGCGGCAAATTGCTCCTCTGAAAAGTAGCAATGTGCTCAATAGCAGAAGGGGCAATTTATTGGTTTGCCCCTTTTTTGAGCAATATTGCTCAATTTTGTTACATAGTAGCACTTCACATAGCAGCAACTTTTATACATTGTAGCAAATTTCTGAAATATAAACAAGCAAACGATATTCATTCGAGCAGTTTCTGTTATACAAAACGGCAAATTTGCGTATTTGTAAAGTGAATTTTGCTACTTTGCTCCTTTGTATATCAGCCATAGCGTTTTTACACACTAGCACAACAGCAAAAGCCGCAGAAAATATACATTCCAGCTAATTGGCACTTTTTTGCTATTTGCTCCTTTGCTATTTTGTATATGAGCCCTGAGGCACACAACAACTAGTACTCTCTATCGGTGTGTACTGATGAGCTACAACTTGCATCGCTGATCCGGCCCTCAGTGATGCGATGCAAGAGACACCAGGGGAAAGCCTCGCAATGTTGTGCGATTCGAAGGACTACCAACCTACTTGTTGTGCCAGAGTTGACTCCAAAACTTAAACTTCACTCAAGGCGCAGAAAAGCCTCTTGTATATGCGCAAACTGTGCAAGAGCGCAGCCAACATCAATAGGGCAAGGATAATCATTCTCGGTTGTTTACACTAAACAGATGAGTGGAAATGCTAAGATCACAAAGGTACACTCAGAGTGATTCTGCGTAAAGACATAACGCCTAACCAATGCCTGACTATAGGTGATTATCCAGGCAGTGCTCGATAATCACCTGGGTCGCCCTGCTTATGCCGGGTGGGCGCTTGAGCCGCTTGGCAGATAACGGGTTGCCGAGTGCGATGCGACGACTACTCGGCTATCGAGTATTTCCTCGAGAATACCAGTTGAGGTGCTGCACAGAAATGGAGAGTCGTATGAGAGGAAACATTTGTAGTCTGCCTCACTCTCATGCTCAGATTTTGATCTTACTCTAACAGATCCGATGATTCTTAGCTTATACTGTTACCACGTAGGGATATATCGTCAAGTGATAGATTAGCTTGAGGCATTTATACTGTTGCACTCAGCTTCCTTGATCAAGCATCATTTATGATGGAAGAATCCGAAAACAGTGCCACCGATCTCGTTTTTGTCTATGGCACATTGAAACGGGGTTTCTATAACTGGGAGAGGTATTTACGACCCGAGTTAGGAGCAGAGTTCATCGGTACGTCCTTGAGTCTACAACTGCATGGTTATGGTTATTCCAGCAACGGCAGAAACTGTTGAGAAGTACCCGCTAGTAATTGAGGAGACATACGGAATACCCTTTCTCATAAACCAAGAAGGTATAGGCCACAATATCCAAGGGTAAGAAGCTCTAGTATTTATCAATTAAATTATTGATACTCTTCGTTCTCGATCAGAGAGGTCTTTGCCGTTACCCCTTCATGCCTGCAGTCACTAGACTCGCTTGAGGGTTATCCTCAGTGGTACGATCGTCATCTCATTCCTCTGAAGTGCTCCGATGGCCGACTACGTTATGCTTCGGTTTATACGCGTAATTTGGATGAGAGCCCTATGGACTGGGAGAAAATGACCTTCTATGCTTTGTATTCTCTCGAACAACATGATCAATTCTACGTAGCCGGGCTCGCGAAGCGTGCATAGCCTTTCAAGTAGATACTGGTTGAATGGACGTGTCCTTTTACTATAGGATTCCAATACAACCAAATGCAGCCCGACTGCAGTTCATTGTGTTACTAAATTCGGGTCTTGGATATCAAGAATAACAATCGAGCGAACTGTTCTGAGAGGGCAGAGGGGAATGACGGTATTCTGTTGGACTTGTGTAGACTCATGAACTCATGATTAACGACGTCTGAAGATAATGGCAACTCAACTCGATGGGATCACTTAGCATTGTGAAGTGTTGAATGTCGTATATTACATCAGCACATAGGTTATGTAATAGTGTAACAATGTGAACTTCATACTTTACGACCATAGCTTCACTGATCATCAGTTTCATGGCTCATGTCAATTGTGGTCATTCAGCGGCGAGAAGGACCTTACCGACGATACCAAAATTATCTCGGACGAGTTTCTTGAACATTTCCCAAAACTGTGGTAGCATATTATCAAACAGCATTATTCCAGCAAGAATGAATAGGAATATCAATATCATAGTGAGGAAGGAGGCATGACCTGAACACCACCAACAACAGAGCTCCTGCACCCCCTGTTGTTGTCGCCCTAACAACTGCTTACGAGCTCCACAGAATACTGCGAATACTACTAGTCCAGCGAGCATGAAAATGGATTCTGAAGATGTGACAAACTAGTATAAGAATCGGTGAGCACTCAGTGATAATGAGTACTACCAATTCCCATTGCCCAACCTGCATAGGTCTGCACGAGGTTGTACCACCATCCCTGAAGTCATGACACCATGAGATGAGAGTAAAACACATGAGGATGCAATCGAACGAGGGTGAAGAAGGTTCTCGCTACATCTCGATATTCTGAATTATGGAGGAAGTGATCCAAATCAGCTCCTCTGAACATCCATCTCCAGAATGAGTTGAGGAAGTCTAGCATTATAAAGTTACCCTACTATTGAGACGAGCAGTACTAATTGTTCACCAACACCAACCATACCATTCAATGAGGATCCGATGAATGTTGTTTATCATCATCATGTTGTACACTATAACAACTTACACAAGCAGGTGGCCACTAGAGTTATTATTGACAACATCATCAGCAGCAGCAGCAATAGCGTCGTTAGCAAAGCAGCATTAATTGCACATATGCAGTGGAATGACAGCAATTAGATACAGGGTGAGTTCAGTAGTAGAGCAAAGCTCAACGTTGTAGGATGCGTTAGAAAATCCGTCCAATTATGCGAGCGAGATCCTTGACGGCATCGATAGGGTTGGTGCCGATGAAAAGACTCCACAGACCAACGTTTTTGGCCAGCTTAATCTTGTATTGGAGATCCTCTAATAGACGCTGGAGATGGAAGAATGCCCCGATGAATATCAAGAGTATGCATAGAACCATAAATGCAGCGACGTGTTCTGAGAGAAGGAGGAGGAGGAGGTAAGGTGATGTTGATGACGATGATTACCACTTACTCAAACCGTAGAACCTGTAGACAACTACTAGGAATAAGATGTAGAAAAAGCTCCCTGAAATGAGTACACCAAGAAGAGCTGATGCACAATTAGCATAAGACTTACCGAAGCCCGTCATCCAGTGTGGCCATTTATAGAAGAATCCGAGGAACCAATTCTAAAATAAGGAAAGGATCACACAGCGAGAACGACGACGACGATGAACGTTAAGATAGGCTCACATTATCAACGACCTCCCTCATCTTCAGTTGCTTCATTCTCTCAGCTTTAATCTTCATCCATCGTAGGGACTTCAAGTAGAACTACAACAATCAAGTGGTAATGAGTAGGCCAGTGATGATGATGATCGTGGTGGTTCACCTTATTCTTCTTCTTATCCCACGTTAAACCTGCCAAAATCTTCAAATACTTACCGCCGAGACGTTTGTTAAAGGCTTTCTGAGACGGCAAGTATTGATGACAATGTGATTGAGCCTATCAACTTTACAATGGCATATTTCTCCACATAATCACCAAGAAATTTCCACACACCGAGACGACGGAGATGGCCATGTCCATCGGTGGAGTTAGTAACATCATCATCATCATATCCGACTGTGCGACCCTCGTCATAACTAGGTATTTCAATAATGTCCTTGGTTACCGCATTCAACCGCTGTTGCTGCTGCTGAAAGTGGGCGACGCGTACACAGTGAGATGACTGCCTTACTAGTGCCCTCCTTACTCGACTGTGGTACTCCCATTCCTCTATATTATTATCAACGTAATCATGCAGGGTAGCTTCTTCATGTACTACTTCCACCAATCCTACCAGGACCAATATCAAAGATGATAGTAGCATAAGAGACTTGGACCCTCCCATTGGATGATGATGACGACCATGATGATGAGTCGACACCATGTACAAGGAAGACTATACAAACTCCTTTAGCTGAGTTGAGCTCCGTCTAGTCCTGCCAAGCCGATTTCAATTGAGTTCTTGAAGCAGCAGTAATATACCTTGACAGAGTTATCAGGTATGACGTAGGTAACGTAGGTTTAACTCGACAAGTTTATATCGTCAAGCTACTATTCATGTCGCATTAGACATGGAGAGTTATGAGGATGCAATAGATACAACTTCATACTTCGATGATGATGACAATGATGATGCAGCAGTAGTTTTATCCTAACATCTCCAGCTTATCCGCTATGAATTCCAATGTAATGTATTTGGCAATTTTCATGACCTGCTTATTGAAGGATCTCTGAATCATGTCCCATATGGTGGGAAGCAAGTGTGCGCCAAGCATAGTAATGGCTAAGATGAAGAGGAATACGAGTAGTAGCGTTACAAATGTAGCCCGACCTGATAACATACGTTCTTGTACCGCACCATACGATACTTACGAGTGCCACATAAGGCTCCAAACCCTACCAAAGCAGCAATCATGATAAGCCCACCTGAGGAAGAGTAGCCAAGGCCTAGGTAACTGGCCTTACCGAAACCCATGAGCCAGAATGCATAGGTACTAGTGGCGTACTCCCACCAACCCTGACAGGTGTCAATAACAGTTTCAATGAATCAGAGCGTTGACTTCATTATCACAATACATCACGATCGAGTCGGGGATACAGATTGAAGTAGAATGGATAACAGGCTCTGTTAGTATACGTACTTTCCTCCATGATGCACTGCTGATAAAGTAGTCTAAGTTGACTCCTACAAATAACCATTTCCAGAATGGGTCGAGGAAGTTGAGCATTAGTGTACTGAGTTACCCATCCATTATTAATTTAGCAGCTATATCAACTCAACAACAGCGGTGCAGGCACGTCTTGGATTAGCATCACACCCCGGTGGAGTAACACCTATAAAGCTCTTCTCAAGAACAACCCTTTGATAACTGATGATGTATATGATGAGTACTCGATACAACAGAGTTAGTAGTATTAGGTACTCCCAACAACAGCATCAGCAGTAGCCTGTAACATTGCTCCTTGTTGTCGTGATGTTCATGGAGTGTCGTGTGTGGATGAGACCCATTACCAACAACGAGACCTCCTCATTGGAGGGAACAGTATCACGGTTAAGATCAGGTTCGCTTCCATATCAATGATTTGGGCACTCAGAAAGAATATGTAACACACGATGCTACTACGAGGGGCTCTAAACCACCACGTTTAACCAAAGTTTATGGAGAGAAGAGCCGACCGGCGTCGTCCAGCCAGGGCAAATCTTACGTTACCTTGCTTTTCTTATTGTCTCTCAACGGATGATTCCGTCGTGGAGTGGATAAGCAGAGCCGGGATGGCTTAGGTATCATGGCTAGGGCTTGAGAAGAGGGCAGATATAGTCATGATATCAGAGTAATGAACCCACGTACAGGAGTCATGGTATCGAGGCAATTAAACATAGTTGACAACTCATTGACTACTCAATATTCATTGTACATAGCTACCCTTACCAACAACACTCTTCCACAGATGTTTCGTGCAAGGATTGATGTTGCGTTTAGGATAGGGTCCCACCATGATCAGTACCACTTTATGGGCGAATGAGGTCCTCAAGTGTGGTGATTGGCAGGCCTGTAGGGAACAGCTATGATGATCGTGGTCCGCAGTCCTCAGCGGTCGTAATCGAAGGTGGAGTGGTCCTGCCTGGGATAGCATGTACCCCGAAGGTCTACAGGGTAATATTGGACTTTATGGTAAATTCAATAAGTACTATGTAGATACGGTACGGGGTATCCTTCTGGATGTACATTCTTTTAATCTGCATTGGGTCTACAGCAGGCATATGGACGGGCATGATAAGGGATACCGAGGGATGGTCTTGGCAACTGATATCCTTCATCGCCATACTGTTCGCTATATTTGTGGTCTTGGGATTTTTCGTACCCATACGCCTTGTACGATTATCTGACCGTATCATACTCGCCACTCCCCTTGTTGATTATATAGCGATGCTAGACGATATAACAGACATCATGATGGTAAGGCTAGTATGTATTACCTTCTTATTACACTAAATACCCTGTTACAGGTGCAGACTGTTTGTGGTCATGACGCTCTAGAGGCCAACCGTCGATTCCCATGCCGCACCTTTTTCGGTTTCCCTACTGATTACCCCAAGTACCTGCTTATTGCCAGTAACAGGTGTTTGAGCAATATGATAGTCTCCTCGAGTGACATGGAGCAGTTGTATGAGGACATGACACGTATAATAGAGGCTCGTCACGCGATGATGGTTGTAGTGTAAATGTCTCCTTCTTACATGCTTTAAAGCGTTATGTGATTGACTTAGCGGCAGACATTGTTGTAGTTCACTGGGACCGCGGGGAGTTGATGGACAATTCTGCCATTCAACTGGTTTGGAGCTGGCTCATGATCCCAACATCCATAAGACCCTCTCTCGCC